CAAATTTTCAAATGTATATCGTGATAAATATTTTTGGTCATATCGCCCTGCTCTAACAGCAACTTCCTTACAATTAGTTACAAATAGTTATGACCACCAACTGGTCACCCAGAGATTGAGCATACTCACCTTCAACCTCAATATTTGTCCTAAATTTATGTTCACTGGACTCTCCTGTATTATAAGGGGTCAACATAGCAGGTAGCTTGATTCCCTTCCTGGCACAATCCCAAAGAGGATTTCTGTTTAATGTGAAATTCTGTGTATGTTACAGATTTGCAATTTTCACTCAGTTATCTCATTTAACTTCCATATTATCAAACTGTTTTATTGCTGTCTTGAGACACCAAGTTCACTTTAAAGATTTCAGTCGTCTGTGAATGGTCACAAAGATGGTCCCCATTTTTGAAGCAACCATTTTAAAGGCAGCTGCTCACAGTTGTAATAATTTGCATGTATCCAACCAATGTTCTCTAAACTGACACTAACAAGCTATGTTTGACAACTAAATATTGACGTTGATTATTATATTTTTGGGCCCATTGGAAGAAATTGCTTCCTGAAAATTAGAAACCCCAAGTAAAGATTCCTCATCAGCTTATCAGTTACAGAAAAATCTCACATCTCTCATCACTGTGCTAGTGCTATCTGCTACACAGTTAACAGTAGTCCTCTGTGCTGATTGCTAACAAAGTCTAAGAAGTAATTTAAACTAAACTGGGCAGGACATCTGAGGTTGCGCTTGGCAGTTCTGTGAGATTCCCCTTCCAGGCAAGCACGTGCGTGAAGATACATGTGTGACACATATTTGTTGTCTTTACAAGCTGTCAGAACAGATTGTGCGCTCAGTGTAAGAGAACAAGAATATGATACAGATTTGGGGTTTTATCTTGCTTGTTTTTGAATTTTCAAGTAGCCCAGATTTTCAAATAACCTTTCTCTCCTTGTTGTATCTGCAGGTTTTGCCCCCATCAGTGGCATGTGCAGTAAGTACAGGAGTTGTACGATCAATGAGGACACAGGACTTGGCTTGGCTTTCACCATTGCACATGAGTCTGGACATAAGTATGTTTAGAAGAAAGAGCAGCAGACTTAAAACAGATGAGACTGTCTCAGAATGTAATGTCATTTTGGAAGGGGCAGCCTAATTGCCTTTATGCTGTCTGTGGATGTAGTTTGTGTTGAAGTGACAGATGTGGTCTGATTTAAACAAACACACTCTGAAATAAGAGCATTACGTTAGACCCCTACTTCATCCACTCCATGACATTTTATGGGAGAATAATGGAAACTACCCAAGGCAGTGCAGCTCTGTGTTTATATTTATACGTTACCGCTGGGACTGGAGGCAGTTTATTTTTTGATATGTGTAGATGTCATGTTGCGGTAAAACTCTTCTGTGTGCCTCATATGTTCTTAAAACAAACTATGAATTAGGTGTATTCACCTGGGTAATAATATGTCAAAATATCCATACAGGTGTTACTTTAATTGAAAGGAAGGTTGTGTATGGGAATAAATTACTGCTGTACCATGTGTGGAAAAAAAACAACTTTTTATCCCTATATTTTCTGCAAAATGCTGAGACAAAAACTTTGAATGTTACCAACAAGTATTTTCAACTAATCTACAGGTTTCCAGCCTTTTCAAAGATGGCACCATTGGGAATGATATCAACATTGTGGTGGTTAGCTTGTTGCTGCTGGAGCAGGACCCTGTAAGTAGATTTACACTAACTCTGCAGAACTTGCCTGACTTGTGCTGCTTTTAACTTGACACTGATTAAAATACCCATGGCTGTGTTCTAAATCTCAATTGTTCTCTCTACAATTCCAGTTGGGCTTGACCATAAATCATCACGCTGACCAGTCCCTCAACAGTTTCTGTCAATGGCAGTCAGGCCTGGTGGGGAAAGGTGGTAAACGGCACGATCATGCTGTTCTCCTCACTGGACTGGACATTTGTTCCTGGAAGAACGAGCCCTGTGACACTCTGGGTGAGATAGGGCTTAGCTCACTTTAACAAGCCAAAGATATTTTTTTCTT